CTTACAACTTTGCAAAATTTTACAAGTTTGAGCTATACTTTGAAGGTGCTCCTAACGTTGAAGGTGCTGCGGGCGGAAGGTACTGATGCTGCTCATGGCAATGAAGGAGCTGAGGGCAGAAGGTACTGGTGGTGCTCCTGGCGAGGAAGAAGCTAAGGGCAGAAGGTTCTGATGGTGCTCCTGGCGATGAAGATGCAAGCGTTGAAGGTGCTGATGGTGAATCCCAAATCTGGAAATAAACAAAAATATCAATTAAAATTTATAAACATATAAAAAGTCTCAATATATACCTCAAGAATGTGACTAAGTCGCTGCTGTTTTGCAATCTAAAAGAAGAAATTACATTATAATCAAATAAAATTTTAAGTACGTATTCTTACCTTCAAAATTTTCGCAAAGTGAATTTTCTTCACAGTATGTATACTGTCATCAAAACCCTGATGTTTCTAACTTGCTCGCTCTAACGCATAGAATTCTTATTAGAGTACGAATTCTTATCGGGTATGTAGCTCTAACAAAGGGAAATTTTTTTGACAGGTCGAACAAAAAATCTGTAAGTGTGTGGGTGAGATGACTAAAGAGTTTTGAATGTGTTTGTAGATCGTTTGAATTTCAGAGGAAAGTGGTGAGCCGTGCCTGGCAGGGAAGTGCATACTAAGTAGTACATATAATAGGGGTCTTCATCATAAGTGGTAAAGTGATAAATTTATCATTTTGATAAATGAACTGTCAAACTTTGTATGGAAATCTATTTAACCAAAGTGTATCACTTTATCAAACGATTTTGGTGGATAAATGTATAAATTTCAACAAAATTCAACCCTTCCTGGTTGCCAGGTAACTACGAACACATAAAAGCAAGTGAACATAACGTACGAGGTAAGAATGAAACGTAACTAGCCATATAAGTTAAATAATAAACAGTTTTATGCAATTATTTACCAAGATGCGTTCATGAAAGAGGGTGATTAAACTGATAAATTTAAGCAATTTATCGCTTTATCACGTTAGATGAAGACCCGTAATACAAACTCAGTAATTAAAAAAAAATATAACCATTCGCTGGTATCGAGAGTACCATCGACAGTTTTAAAGCTATATTGGGCGCTGTCATCACGATATTTTAGGGCTTTCGCACGAGGTGCTTTTTCAGGCAACTTTTAGTGGAAAGCAAAAATCGCCTCGTCCGAACGGCCTTTCAACTAATCGCTTTCAACAAAGTTGGTCGCCAGCCAACTTTGAGCTCGTTCAACTTGTTTTCCTTGCAACCCTGTGTTTGTTTACATTCTGTACACATACTTTTTTCTTTTTTACTTTTTTACTTTTATTTTATCTTTCGGCTTCGCTAAAAGCATTTCTTCCAACGCTTGGCTTACCAACTTTACGCCAATTGATAAAATTTGCAAAATAACAATTCGTGTTGGATCGAAAATCGCCTCGTCTGAATAGGGATTGCAACTTTTTCACTTTCATCTTCGCATTCAACTTTTGTTGTCTTTAAAATCGCCTCGTGCGATTGCCCTATTTGGATCGCGATCCATATTGATGGATTGATGGATCGCGTACGAATGCTACATTTTCAATATTTAAAGCGTCCGTATTTGCATAAGTTTTGTGCTGAACGCTTATGCCTGGATTATAATGGAAGTAACGGAACGGAGTGAACTGCCACTTAGAGCGTGTGTGAATCGGTAACAAAGTTCGCGGCCAGTAAATTTTTGACAACTATGAGGTGAATAAAATTTTAGTAGCTCAAGAGGCTAGTGAAATTTTTGACAAATGCATAGAAAAATTTGACAATCGCAAAGATTGTCGATGTGTGTAATTTTTGGCTAAATAAAAGCTTAAATTGATGAATTGCAATCAACTGTGGAAGATGTTTTCTTAGAATATTAATTTCACTTCAATTTGTAATATTTTATTCCGCATAAATCTGCGGTTATCAAAAATTTACTGCTGCCAAAAAAGATTTCATTTCACACAGCAGATTGGCAAAACTGTCTCTCCATAGTAAAAATATTATTCAACAGCTTTCCCCATAGAACTTTGTTACCGCTTCACACACGCCTTTAATAATCTATTGTATGGACAATGAATTCGAGCGATTGTAATGCACTGAACATAACGTAAAACGGAAGCATCTAAAATCAATAGATCCTTACGAATTCGCAGCGATTTGTTACGATTCGCAAGAGTATTATAACCAAGTATTATTGGGCACTGTCACACGGTCAGTTTATTGACGTGATCCAAGTATCGCGATATTTATTGATGGTGTAGCATGCAGTATTGATGGTTCGTGATCCATATCGCGAAATTTCTAAAAATTTTGAAATCTGGATCGCGGATCGCGATACCGTCCATAAATATTGAACGTGTAGCACTTTCAAAACGCGATCCGTACATTTCGTCAGTACATATTTTACTCTCATAATGTGAACATCGGCTCTGCCTTCGCCCTCGGGGCTTAAAATCTTTCAAATCAAATTGAACAAATTTTAACTAAGATTGGAAATTTTAAAATAATTGTGGAATGCATTATGTGTAAATCATACGTACAAAATAAAAATATTTTCTTGCGTCATAATAAGCGTTCAGCACAAAAATTATGCAAATACTGACGCGATATATATTGAACATGTTGCATTCGTCCGCGATCCATCAAATCATAATATGGATCGCAATCCAAACATCGTGATCATTACTGACCGTGTGACAGAGCCCTTTATGATACAAGAAAATATTTTTATCTTGTACGAATAATTTACAGATAATGCAATCCACAATTATTTTAAAATTTTCAATGTTAATTAAAATTTTTTCAACTTGTTTTGTAAGGTTTTAAGCAACGAAAACGAAGGCATAGGGAATACGTTTTCGATGTTCGCATTATGAGAGTACAAGACAAGGCGAATTTATACAAGGTGGTGTTAACAGAACAAAGACAAAAATTACAATATCAAATTATACTTTATTAATTATATATTAGTACAAAGCCAAATTACAACACACACATTATTTTGACAAAAGCACAAATTCGCCGTGAAAGCAGCTGATCCGATAACACAACCTTGTTTAGATTCGCCTTGGTACAAGAAGTACTGATGAAATGTATGGATCGCGTATTGAAAGTGCTACACGTTCAATATTTATTGAAAATATTGCGATCCGCGATCCAGATTTTAAAATATTTAGAAATTTTGCGATATGGATCACGATCCATCAATACTGCATGCTACACCGTCAATAAATATTTCGATACTTGGATCACGTCAATAAATCCTGACCGTGTGACAGGGCCCATTGATTAGTATCGTTTTGTTGCTAAATGTGCGTGGAATCGAAGCGGGGTTCGTCGCGGAATATTTTTGATTTAGGTGTAATCAATTTAAAAATATTAAAGGCAAATCCCTTGATTTTAAGGTAAAGCTTTGTATTGTCTGTATATAATCACATGTGATACGCATGTAAGCTAGTGAACTATTATAACATACATTAGTAACTATTAGTTGTGTTAATTTGGGTGTGGCACCTACATTGCAAAAGTCAAACAATTTCGGTAATTCTCTAGTCTACGGTAACAACCCCTAAAAAAGCTTTGGAAAAGTCGGGAGGGTCATCAAACGACGCGGGGTGGGGTTTAGTAGTCAGCCGCACCTTGTGTTTTAAGAAAACCAGGTGGAATTAACAATTGAAACTTAGGATGTTGAGGGAGGTATCCTCTAAAACATGTATAACTAAAAAATATAAACAATATAATTGTATATAAGTTATTTGTTGTTAAAATTTCTTAAGACGTTCCACTTGTTTTCCTTATCAAAGAGTGCATTTGTCACATACTTTCATATATATAAATGCACATAACACTACCTAATAGTTTACACACTTTTATTTTATTTTATCTTGTATGTAAATCACTTTAATCCAACTTTTATTAACTTGTAATTACATTACATTGTACCCATATTTACATCCATGATACAATAACACATGGTTGCAAACTGACACATAAGATGTGTTGCCATACCGTACAAAACAATACAATAGAAAGAACTCTACGTAGTGTGGGTTATAATCCCTAAGTGCTGCCGCAGGCCGCCTACGCAGAAAGGTGTTCTCTGCAAAAGGTGTTCCGCCCCCTTTTTTCGGCAACACAGAAAGGAGAATTCGGGTACTGTTTAGTAAGTGGCCCACCTATTTCGGGGTATTGCGTCCAAAGGGGTGACCCGATCCAAAAAAAAATTGCACACACTTGTAGCCAAGGGTCTACCCATTATTTTAACATCCGCTATTGTAATTTTGGGTCACTAATTTATTTACAAATTGGGTTTGAAATATGCCCTTTTTTGTAAAATTCGGAAATTAGTGTAAATTTATCACTCCTATTCTCCTTAAAGCAGCTACATCAGCAATATATTTTTATATTCTCCTTCACTTTGCACTTTACTCGATGAGCTATAACTTTCTTTATAACTTTAATATTAACCAATTAATCACAATTTATTAAATAAAAACACCTTCTAAATCATGCGTCTGACTTTTGTTGCATATGCAAATTAAATGGCGTAGTTCAGCTGTCAAACTCCAAAATATGCAAAAGAATGAGAGACAAAAGAAAATAGGATATAACCCTGTAAGCATTAAAAATATACAAAGGTGTTCTCTG